AACAAACCTGCGGTTCCCTCCAAAGCGTTCGGTGGCAGCAGTGAAGCATCCTCTTCCCGATCGGCGCCGGGCTCCCCAGGCTCCCAGAAAGGCTCTTGGCGGCAAGATCTCCAATCCCGGCAAGACTCGGTTCCTGCTGGCGCCATTCAGCGAGCCTACGCACATCCGGCATGGATTCCTCTTGTACGAGATTGGGGCGGAAACAACCTGGCCGTAGATCTTGCACCCGGCCCAACCGGTATTTGGGGACAAATTGTTCTGTTCGGGCGAGACTACGATACCAAGTACGTCGTAGCCAGATCGTGGGGCGCTTTCCTTGCCATCCTCGCAGATGACTTGAACAGTGGCAAATGGTTTGTCGACGAAGATACCAACGAACTCAAATTACGCGAGTTTAAGACCACTCGCGTTGAGCCCTCGTACTTCGACATTCTGCGCTGGCGAATGGACCAGAAGCATGGGCGCACTGCAAAATCCGTGGCAAAGCGCAGGTCTGGCGTGCCAGGAGGTGCCGCGTCACCCGGTGGCTCACCTTACACCAGCCCTGTCGACGCCAATAGCGAAGTCCGTGGAAGATCATTACAACGACTCAGCAGCCCGTCGCCGTTGGTAAGCCCTGCCCGGGTTGGTTTCGGGAAATCCAGCGCACTTGCGCGAGTCACGGAAGAATCAGGAAATCCCGAACCGAAACTCGTTACCAATGGCATCAAGCAGGACAAGCTCGTCGAAGTCGAAACCCCAAAAGTGCAAGAGGATGCAACGTCAACTACCAAGCAAGACAGTGCGCCTGTAGCTAACGGCACGGATCCCTCGGCGTCAAAAACGGAGACGGATCTAATAAATGGCCACGTAGACGACATTGAAGGAGGGATGAAAACCATAGAGATCTGATGAGAGTTCTACGACGAAAAGCAATGATAGCCTATGTTCCACGACCAAAACATATCCAGTAGAAGGGCGGCGTTCCAGGCGTCGGGATTTAGCAAACATTCCATGAGCATCATCTCGAGAACGCTTCAGAGTTTTCCCTCGCCTCTTCTACAACAGCACTATTGGCATTCCCACGCGTTATTAATTCCCACGATGTTTGGGGCACGCGGGGACTTGGACACGTACCATTTCGGCTTGCTGGAGCAACCCCAGAAACAAGAATACGACTTGAAGGCAGCCAGCAGGTACCCCAAGGCCATGGTAGTTTTTCGATTCTTGTACCAAAACCGTATTTGTGCAGTTTGCTTCATGAGACTCGGCTACCTGTCGACACGTTAAAGAAATTGTTTCGGCTTCGTGCTAAGGAGCGACGCATTGAAATAGCGAACCTGTACGGGGAAGCGCTCCAATAGCGACTTGTACAAAGAGAGGCGTTACCACGGTTTTTTTTCGCGCTTTGCGATCCGGGTGGGTTAATAGATCTGACGAGTAGTTCTGGTTGTCATCGGGACTCACATTAGTAGGCGTCGGAGGTAGCAATATCTATACAGTTTCTTCTTGAGACGGCTACCATGTAACATAGCGACATGCCCGCCAATGGGAGTACCATGGCGGGGCGCGTAATTGGATTGCACGAGTTCGTAAAAATATAATGCATTAGTCACCTAATGGGTTATAGACTGTGATCATGTAGCGCACCTACTTAAGTTTTGCATGAATTCTAGCTATTATATGTGAGGCTTTCGTTGACTTCTTGGTTGCGGCGAGCTGTTGAGACGGAATAGCTACGTCACGTGATAGTTGCTCTGTACATACCTAGGTGCCTACCGGTAGGTGGGTGTAGTGAGTAACTGAAACGCTAAGAGTAGGTTAGTAGTTACTAGCTGAGCTGCCAAGGCTAAAGCGTCATCAACCTACCTACATAGGTAGGTAGTTCACTCAAACCCATCGTCCTCCAGAGTCCACACTATCACTGCTCACATCGAGAGCTAAGCTACAGCAACAACCGCAATACCTACCTACTCTCGCTTAGCTACCTCAGTCCCCCGACGCCTCCATCCATCCTGCCTGGCTGCAGGTACCGTCTACGACACACCCCCCATTCCGACGATCCGAAGCGAAGCCCCGAGCATCATGGAGGAGGACCGTCTCTGGAAGTTTGGCAAGCCGGCCTGGCTCAACAGCGCCTGGGCGCGAAACGCCGGCGTCTACGCAGCTGGTTCTCTGGTGCGTTCCTCTCCCCCCTTCCTCCCGGAACCGAGTCGTCCTCCTCGCGGTATCCCCTTACGTCGACATCTGTCTCCCTCCGCGCATGACGAGAATCCGTAGCCGTACCTAGCTAGCTAACTAACTCGCGCCGTGCGATAATAGTTCTCGCTCGCCTTCTACGTGCTCATCGACGCGGCCGTGTGGTCGAAGTCGCCGCTCAACATGTCGGACGTGCACGTGACGTTCATCGACTGGCTGCCGTTCATCTTCAGCTCGCTGGGGATGCTGATCATCAACTCGGTGGAGAAGGCGCGGCTGTCGGCCGACTCGTTCAGCTACTCCGGGTCCGGGGTCGCGTGGAAGGCGCGCGTCGTGCTGTTCCTCGGCTTCGCGGCCCTCGCGGGCGGCATGGCCGGCGGCGTCGTCGTCTTCGTCCTCAAGTTCGCCGTCCAAAACGTCAACTGGCCCATGATGGGCATGGGCGTCGAGAACATCGTCGCCAACGGCCTCGTCGGCCTCTCCTCCGTCGTCCTGTGGGTCAGCCAGAACATGGAGGACGAGTATAGCTACAACCTGGCTCTATGAGGGGAAGGGGGGGGATGTTCGATTATTGGTGGGTTTGTTTGTTTGTATAGCTACGCGAGCGCTTGTGGGTTTGCTGGGAAGGTCCGATACGGTACATATGTTAAATGCGGGCTGCCTCGAATCGCTAGGTCTAGCATAACTGAGTAGGTAATAAGATTGCTCTTATGGAGTTCATGTTTCCCTTTCAAAGCTAGGTCAATAACTATGCATTCTCTCATGCGGCTTCAAGGTTGGGACAATCACGTTAGAAAGCTACAACTGGATAGTGGTTCTTGAAGCCGCGGTCGCCTACTCCATGCAGCGAAGCCACATGTCCACGAGAATCGTTGGGCGATTGATGTGTTTTCTGGCTTTTCGAGTTCGGCGCAACCTAACTAGAACTCACCTACTCAGTCTCTGCTTGTGTTCTAGAGTTGCATAGAGATCATTCGAATCACATGTCCTTGACTTTCCAATTGATGTCGTCCCAATTTCTTTCAGTCTCTTTCCAACCCAGGTTCTCATTATTTATGTGATGTGTTAAGTATGGCGATGGCTGACACAGTCAAGCATTCATGCCTCTGTCATCTGCTAGACCCTTCTAGGCTATTAGAAAGTTCATCAAAGATGACATACTTTCAAAGGGGAAGGAAGGAAGGAAGGAAGGAAGGAAAAGGAAAAGAAAGGGGCTGCAGCCAAAAAATGTGGTGCACCAGGTAGGGATTAAACTCACGACCTTTGCATTTCTACCATATAGGCTACGCCAAATCATACATAATACTATTTAGGGCAAGTAAGAAGCGCCGGGCGGCGGCTCGAGTAGCTAGCTACAAGGCCGCTTGCCTTAGGCCGAGGCGGCAGCGGCGGCAGCACAAGAGTGACCTGCCCACCTCCAAACAACGCGGCCACACAGCTAGGACGAGGTAACAGCTGCTTACGCATACCCAGGGATCCAATATCCACGAGTTCCTACCGTCGATCCTTCTCGGAGTGGGCAGGTACACCTACTATATAGGGAAACATTATGTCAGGACCTCGCAAGTCAGGGTATTGGGTCCTATATTGACATCTGTTGTTGCGCGGAGAGTCTAGTCGTCCTCTCCATGAGCTAGTCCCTGGCTATATACATTCCGGCCCTTTGTTCTTAGGTAGGGTCTCAGGTTCCATGGGGGTTCGGGCGCGGTATCGTGAGATTAGGTGGTGCCTTGTGATACACTGGTCATGCGGACTACAAAAAAGAAATCTGGTTGGCACCCCTATACTAGAGTCTCCATTCTACCTACAACATCAATACACTAGTTGCGTCCATTTTCTAGTCTCCCAATAATCGGTCACTTATACCTGGTCTAGGCACACGAGACAGACAAAGAGACTCCACGTATATAGCCATACAGTCAGATAGTGCCTATGGAGATAGCTTCATACCCCCGTGCAACGACAGATGCCTATACCCTACCTATACGACGTCCCTGACACAAATAAATTAGGTATAAATGCCTAGAGCCTGCGTGTGCCTAGGTCCGTGTTCCTAGCAGATAATATTAATAAATAATAGGAGTACAATATGTTAACGACGACGTTGTTGTGGCTTTACTGTGTGGGTTGGTGATGGCTTCATTTTGATCGCCGGGGGCGCCCTAGCACTAGTGGGCAGGTATACCTGCTGTGTAGAAAGGAACTAGTTATACGGACTACAAAAAGGGAATCTGGTCGGCACCCCTATACTCATTAATCCAGTGTGCCTACTAAGGTAGGTATTCTACCCGATAAAGCAACGCACGAGCTAGAAGCCGGCGCTTGCATCGGTCAACACCATCTCTTCCGTGCTGCTTAGGTATCCAAACTGTCCCCGGCACCGCCCACAGCTGCCATCACACATGCACATTACATATAACACAGAGCAATTACTGCTCGCATCTGAATAGCCCCTGCTTGTATGGCCTTTCTGTAGGTTTGTAGACGTCGCAGAGTACGTACAGTACCTTGATTAACCTATTTCACTACGTGATGCAGGAAGCTGAGGTTCATTGATTGAGTCTGCCTAGAAAGTGGGTTGTATACTTAGGTACGGAGTATGGGATGGAGATACTTAAGATGACGGACCCGTGTAGGGTAGCCGGACATGTGTATGGTAGCCGGGCATGTGTAGGGAAGGTACCTGTTCATCGTACTTGCCATAAAGCCTCCGGCCACAAGGTTTGGGAGGGGGACCCACCCCGGGGCCGGGCTCCGCCGTGACCACGATGCCGAGAGCGTTTCTGAGATATAAGAGAAATCAACAAAATATCTCCTAAGAAGCACCCGTGGTGTAGTGGTTTTGCATTTCTGTCTTATAGTGTGTCTATTTACGTGGACTCTCTATGCTAGCAATCAGAAGGTCGTGAGTTCAATCCTCACCGGGTGCATCAACGCTCTTTTTTGTTCTAGTCCTTTTTCTTCTTCTTAATACCATAACGAAGAAAGCCGCCGGCTGAAAGGGCTACGCGAGCAGTAATTACTTTGTAATTCACGGACACTTGTTGTAGCGTAAAGGTTTAAGGTCATCTCCGTTAGAGCTATCTGACTGTAATATGGCTATGTGTCACACGGACCCAAGGGACTGGAACCAGGCCTGACCTAGGTCAGGGCCTAGGCCAGCCCCCTAGGGCTGGCGAACTGCATATTCGTATGCATATTCGTGATCATGTAAATAGTCATATGATCGGGTGGAATAGCCTATGGATTATCTAGGGCTTCCCGTCCCTCCCGTTACCTCCTGTATGTTCTGATCTATCCGAGACAGTAATACGAGAGGCCGCGAGGGCAAGTGGAAGCGAAGGAAGCCAGGCGGCTGGCCCAGATGAAGCTATTCATATAGCCTAAGGGTCGCCCACCTGGCTGGACAGAAGGACTAGAGATCCAGAGCCCCCTTGAGCCCATAGATGATTATTAGTTGAATCAGAACACATCTCAAGCCCTTGATACAAGCCCTTGTGACACTATGTACAAGGTGTCTCTTTGTCTAAGTTGGTTAAACCGTTGTAATGATGCTAGATATTTGGTAGATCTCTTATTGATTTGCCCACGGACTTGTGGCTAGGAGGCTGGCTTTGATCAATCACGACTTTAGGTCGCTCTCCCGACTGTATTGCTTTCTTGGCTGCCTCTTCGACCCTACTTTCGGTCTCCCTAGACCGGGCTCCATCTTGTACACATTCGAAGTCATGTTTAAGGTGTGTTTGGGGAGTGTTGACGATGCAATTCCGATAGAAGTATATCATAGGATATTCGACACTGCCGGGACCTTGGAAGTAAGGGTATGGGGTCTATACTGACATCTGTTGTGGCGCGGGGAGTCTAGCAGTCTCTATGGGCTAGTCCCTGACCATGTACATTCAGGCCCTTTGTCTCTAGGGTCTGGGGTCCTATGGAATATGAGTGAAGCCTGGGCAAGTGAAGCTTCTGGGGGTCCGGGCGAGGTAATAATATCGTGAGATTGCCTAGTGCCTTGTGACAGACACCAGTATTTCGGGGCAGACTCGCCTAGGTTGCCGTTGTAGGCCGTGTAATATGTATGTGTGATGGCAGTTGTGGGCGCTGCCGAGGACTGCCTGGATAGGCAGCACAGGAGAGATGGTCTTGATGTTGCTGTGGCTTCACAATACCCGACCTTACTAGTAGGCATACTAGATATCTCGTAAATCCTAGTGGACGCTACTGCTTAGGCCTTCCGAGAAGGATCGGCAAGGAGTCTTATGGCAGTTTGGCAAGAGCAAGCCGCGAGACAGACGGTAGGATCTCGGGGATTTTGGATCTCTGGGTATGCGTAAGCAGTCTTTGTGTTGTCCTAGCTGTATTGGTATATTGTAGTATAGTGTTTTTTTTGCGAAGTGAAGCACTGAAGCTTGCGATATTGCATCTATGGGTATATTATGTTGTTTTAGCTATATTATTGTTTTAGCTGTGTTGGTATGTTGTAGTTGTTGTTGTGAAGTGGTTTTTGGTGCGGAGTGATGTACTGAACCCAGCAATGTTGTATTTCTGAATCTAATATGTTGTCTAGAGATCTAATATCGCTGGCTGTAGTACTTCACTTCGCAACAACAACAACTACATGTGTAAGCAGCTGTTACGTTGTTTTAGTTGTGTTGGTATGTTGTAGTTGTAGTTGCTACCCGGTTCTTGTTGCGAAGTGACGTATTAAAGCCAGCTAGCCGTAAAGCTGGGTGGTATAGAGAGCGCCCCAGGCAATAGTTAGTCAAGTATGCCGATAGCTAACAAGATGGTTTCGAAAGGAGATAGAAGTGTTGATTGCTTGCTGTTTCTTGAAAGAATCTGTCTAGCGACCGAAGGGAATTTAGTAAGAGGCATGAGGGGCGTTTTTTTTTTTGTAAAAAGCTAAACTCTCTGTAATGACTGAGTCATCGATTTTGGCTGTAACGCGGGATATATTGATTTCCAATTTGTAGCAATCTTAATATAGATGTGAATAAGGGACAGACACGGATGTTAAGGAAGAGGAGGTAATACTAACCATGCTATACTTGTACGTACGTGCGCATGATATGTATAGTGGCCACAATTTCTTAAGCATGTAGCTTGTTTCGTGATGGTAGTTTCGAAGGGAGAGCATTTTTGAGAAGGCGGCTTTGTAAGTATAGTTTCGCAACCAACATTCGATGTCGACTCAACCAACAACAACGATCAAGCCAGACACTAACTAGCAGCGATCAACCTAGACACCCGCCGGTACCATCAGGCACTATTAAACCAAATACCCACCGACGCCATCAGGCACCATTAAAACAAACACCTGCCATCCTCCCTTAAACCAGACACTCGCGGGCGCTATCAGGCACCATCAAATCAAACACCCGCCACCTTCCTACCGACCTCCGTGCCCTCGTTGCGCTTATCCAGCCAGCAGATACCACTGCCTCGGTACGCATACGAGGGGGGTTTATGTATTCCAGCCGACAGATGTCACTGTCTCGGTACATAAACCTCCTTTTCCATCGTTCCGTTTATCCAGCCAGCAGATACCACCGCCTCGATACGCATACAAGGGGAATTTATGTATTCCAGCCAGCAGATTCATCGGAACGAAACGCTTCGGAATGCTAAGGAAGCGATTTCTCCCAGTGGCTATATCTTTGTCATCCTAATGAAGTCCTGCCGAGTTAGTCATCTTTCGTCTCGGCTCCTTCATCGTTGTCCTTTTCGGCCTTCAACGGCTCTTCTTTAGCAGTCCTAGCTGCAGCTTCTGTAGCCCTCAACTCAGCTGTCGCCGCCTTTTGGGCTAGGTTAAGGATCTCCTTGCACGGCATTGTAGGGGTTTCAGCACGAATTCGTGCATAATGTTGTTTTTTGGGTTCTTGTCCTTTTCGCTCACTTTCTGTGGGCGGATGGTGTTTAGCTTCTTTTTCCGCCTTGATTTCAGCCTCAACTAACACCTCAGCTTTCACACCAGCTTCGACAAACGAAATACTAAGATCTTCAGCTTGTAGCCGCTCCGTAGCTGAAGCTATCCGCTTCTCTCTCTCCAAACCTCGAGCTTTCTTGGCTTCACGGGATTTCTAGAGATTTGGGAAGCCCAGAGCTGCCTAGGCTGCGATGCCTAGCTATAGGTTTGACCAGCCCTGAGCTGTCGAAGTTTCGCGGCCTCTCTGTAGATTGATCCAGCCGTGGGATGCCACGGTTGCACGGCCCTTCGCTAGATTTTCCACTCCAGGGCCTAGTTGTATCCGGACTTCTCTTTCTGAAAGAATTTCTCCACTAAATGTCTTTGCGGCTTGAAGCTTCATGGCTTTTACTAGTTGTCACACGGACCCAAGGGACTAGGACTAGGCCTGGCCTAGGTCAGGGGTAAAGCTGTTCGCATATATAACCTGGAGTTCGCCTGGATAAAAGAACTAAAAATAATCGCATAAATAATTATAGTTAATATAAACACTTCTTAAGCCCTTAAACATAAGCCCTTATAACATGTTTATACCTAGGTAATATATTTATAACATGTTTATAATATAGCTGCTTAAGTTAAAAAATACTTTATAGCTTATATTTATATTAAAAAATAAAGCTATTATTAAGTAAATATTAATAAATTATTTTTAAGTTATTTAAATATATATAAATAAATTTATAACTTATATAGTTTAAACATAAGCTTAAATAATTTATATTTAATAATAACTAAAAAAAGCATTTTCTTTAAGCTAAGCTGTTAAAATTAAACGATTTTAATTAAATATAATAAATGATTAATTAATATATTTTATTATATTATAAAAATTTTTTTATCTTATATTAAATAAGTGTATATAAGTAATTTATACTATATAAACTATTATTTTAACTTTTTAAATTTAATATATTTTTTTAAAAAAGCTTTATATAAGTAAAGCTTTTTATAAAATAAATATTAAAAATAACAAAATTAATTTTAATTATTATAATATTTAATAAAAGTATAAAATAAGCTAAAATAAAAGCTTTAAATAATAAACAAAATATATATAATTGTTTTTTATTTTAGCTTTATTTAAAGTTATTTAATTTTAAATAGCTTAATTTACTTTTTAAAAGTAAGTTTTTTAAAGCTTTTAAACTTTAATATTTTTTATTATTTAATTTTTTATAAAAGTAATATTTATAAATGTTTATAAGCTTTAATTAATTAAAAAATTAATTTTATTTATTTTAGTTAAAAGCTTTTATTAATTTATTAGCGATTATATTATTTATTAATATATAGATTATTTATAAAATATTTTTTTTAACTTTTTAACAAAGCTAGTAATTATAAATATTTATATAATAAAGCTTTGTTTATAAAGTTATTATTTTTTTTATAATAAGTTTAATTATTTATTAATTATTATATTAAATAATAATATATTAATTATTTATAATAATTTTTAATTTTTTAATAAAACAGCTTATAAATATAACTTTTTTAATAGTTTAAGTTAATACTAGTAATTTAACTTTAGTAATAAAAGTAGTTATTATATTTTGTTTATTTACTTGTTATTTAATTACTTTTTTAAATAACTTTATTATATATATTTATAAACTTTTTTAATTAAAAGTATTGTTTGTAAAAAACGCGTTATTAATAACTTTAAAATTGTTATTATCCTTAAATTATAAAATATAATATTAAGTTTAATTAAAATATTTAAATAATTAATCTGTTAATTTATAATATTAAGGTTTTAAATTTAAAAAAAATTATAAAAGTTTTAAAGTATTAAAAGCTATATTAAGCCAGGTAATTATAGCTATATATATAATTAAAAATTTTTTTTTAATAAAAGTATATTTTTTGTTTAATAGTTAATTTTTTATAAAATAATAGTTTTGCTACTATTATTAAAGTATATAATAAAAAAAAATATATTTTTTAGTTTAAAATTTTTTT